CATCTATTATAGAGATCTGCCAAAAATACAGGAATTAAATAATAATGTAAATTGAAAAAGCACATATTTAGTAAAAATATTGGACGTGATCTACGACGAAAAGATGCAGAATAAATAAAGCAGATTTAAGAGTTCACTAAAATGAGATATCTACCATTGGCTATGACTATACATTGCATACAACAATTATTTATAAATAAAGAAATAACTTATTTCAATGACGTGAAAAGACTTCTCACTTAACAATAATTGTTGATAACATCAAAAATATCAATATACTTTTACAGAATGTCAAGTAACATCGTAATTTATGATTCAACCAATACACTTTTAGAAAATTATAAAGAAAAAATAAGAAAATATCAAATTTCTTAATTTGCTTCTGCTTGCCACAAATTCATTTTTGTTATTCAGCATTGCATAAAAAATATTTTAAGAGAACTATTACAATTAAGTTAAATCAATTTATTGAATTATTTTTATTTTTATTTCTGTATGAAAAATATATAGACATAGAAATGTCAATAATAAATTTATCACTAGATAACATCATATTAATTATTAATTATTTATTGTACTATATTGTTTTTTTTCTAACAAGTAGGTATATTATTTATTTTTTTACTGGTATACTTGTAAAATACCTAGTTTTTAGAACATCCCAAAATTTCAATTTACTTTATTTTAATAGTTATATACTTAATACATTTGGGACGAATAAAAAAACTTCGAATAACATTTTACAAATATGTTTTTTTATATTTAAAAATATATCCTAAGGCTTTAAACATATAAGTGGGTACACAAATGAAAATATTTTGGCAAAGCTTTATTTTTTCCTTCGTGTTTTTCTTAATATAATTCGTTTCCTTCAAAAGATCTTTTCCCCAAACACTTGTCTGTGTCCGCTAGTGTACGTCATAAATCGTTTTCAAAACATTTCCTTATACCAGTACTATTTTGCAATAAAAGAACTTCATACTTTACTTATTTATTCGTCACATTTCTAGATGTACACTTTCTAAAATATAATAAAGTTAGTTTCAAAAATATATCTGTTTTATGATATGAAAAGTACTTTTACACATTTTCGTAAGTCCATAATTGGAGAATCTATTGTAGTGTTTCCGATTCGGTAGCTGTCGATAATTCGGCTATCGAATAAATCTGATTATTAACATATAGACCGATATCCTAATGATTATACTTTGATCAAAGTTAATGTAGTATTTGTTATTAACTATATTAATAATTATACTAAGACTAGCTGACCCGGCATATGGTGAACCTACGACTGTAAATGATATAATATTTAACGGAAGATAAAAACGAAGTTTAAAATGGCTAATAATAGAGCGAATAACGTTTTATAAATGAAATCAACGAGTACTTAGAATCTTAATATAACATTTACTCTGATATTAATTCATTAATATGTATCTACTACAATTATTATTTTAAATAACCATTTCGACTATAGGTACTTAAAATCCAACGTACTGATAATAAAAGTAATTGCTGGTAAAAATGTCAAATACCTACATTAGTACATATTATAATTTATAATTAATATTGGATTACTAGAATAATAACGATGAAATATACAATAATAATCATATTTTATCCAAGTAATAAAACACAAATTACGTGCACGCGGTATCTTAATTTTCAACGTTATTTTGTTCAATGCTTTTTAAGATTATTTTGTAAAAAATTAGTGCGTTAACACAATTTATGTAAAAACAACATACACCTTAATACTGTAATGAATGATAGTAGATGACATTAATATATTATACGTTTCAAGTTATTTGTAAAAGTTATCAACTCAAGAATATATAGGTACCGTTACTCATAACTATAATAATATGACAATACTGTTATCATCTAGAGAACTAAAAACAGCTAGTATGCTTAGTGAGTACAGTCTACAGACAATAATACATATAATATTCTAATAAAACATAGAAATTAATAAAAAGCAATAAATAAGTTTTGTGCTGTATTAAAAAGTTGAATTACTAAATATATACATTGAGTTAATCATTTAAGTTATGTTTGAAGGTCAAAATGAAGCCTTTAGAATTCTATAATATTATTCGGACACGTAAATAATATCTCAGACTGTTTTATTATTATAAGTATAACTGTGTATTATTTAAATAATAATTATAAATTTTATAGTTCATTAGAAATAATAATACAAATTATTATTGTGTTATACATTTATATATAGGTCAAAGATTTCAAGAGCTTGCATGTTTTTTGGATATGTTAATAAATAGCCCCTTCAAATAAAAATCCCATTTGTGATATAACTATAATATTATATATTTAATGTTAATATAGGTATACAATAATATAACATTGGAATCTAAATCTGAAATTTTAATTTTAATATTTTTGCATATTAAAAAATGTTTACTGTAAACCTTGTTTTTTGTACTTTTTCTTTAACTATTCTACATTTAAAAAAATGTCTATGTTATACTAATATTGTGTAAATGTTATGTACTTTTTTCGAAGGCAAGCCTTACCATGTTCACTGCCGATGATTTTTTTTTTAAAATTAACTTATTATTTGCATTAATGAATCAAGCTCATGACTTTGATGCGGAAAATAAACTATACAGTTATGCATAGTTATGACATAAAATTTTCAATAATTAATTCAATAAATTGTTGTATTTAGAGAGTACCATATTTTTGTACATACAGATTATCTGCATGCTTATCTGTGTGTTTCTTACATTTATACCATAGAATCTATCAGTCTTTAGTTCCAAGCCTATATTTTATAAGCTGAGTAAGAAAAATATTTAATGAATATTTAATCTAAAGAGTTGTGCAATAAATAATACTCAGAGTTTACTGTGAATGAAATACATACGATGTACATTATACTTATATATTATAGATACATCTTAAGTTGCGGAATCGAACAGTTAATATTATCATACTATAATATACAACAGCATTGCCTAAACATCGGCGGGTGGTGTTCATAACCAATTCGTCGAGGGAGGATACATATAATTGACATTTTTTTTTTCAACCATCATGAATAGCATCTTATAATAGGAACCTATTCATGTGCAATATATAAACATTTTCGTAACGAAATAACTAAGCTGTGTAATAATTGCATACGAATCTTCCCAGTTGCGTACTTGCGTACTTGCGTACAACATTAGATTGAAAGATCCACCCAAATTAGTCACATAAATACATTAGATCGTAATTATAAAAAACACATATCGTACGTATAAAAAGACTTTAAGTGCGCCGTTGAATGTCACAAACTGTAAATAATATTTGTACAACTCTATAGTTGCCGTATAATGGAGAAGCAGCTTTTAAGCTATGATGCTGATAGTCGTTCTTAAAAAAAACAGCCAAAATAACTTTCTTACATCAGTAAGAGAAAATCTATTCAGACAATGCTACACGTCGTGACCGCTCTTTCATGTTTTGATAAAAAAATTGTTTTTTTTGAAAAATAGTATTATCATCACCAGGAACGCCTTACAGAAGAATAATATTTTTTACAACTAATAGTTATGAACCCTATTCTTAAAGTTATATCATGCAAAAAAAGTCTTTAGAAGTCAATTTTAGTTGAACGCGATCATATCTCAAATCTTGTTAATCTTTGAAAGAGGCTTTTAAAAACACTTCACTTCGTATTTTTGGTGACGTTCCTTGACACATAATAAATCTAAAATTACTAAATGGCATAGAAAACGTAGAAACGACATTTACAACACGAATGAATTAAACGCAAATGAAGCAGATAATGGCCGTATAAAAATATACATACGTATAATCGGAAAATTAACTTAATGTGGTCTTAAAATATATGGAAATAAATCGCAGGATTCTGCTTATATTGTTACTGCTAACTGCTATGTGATTAATTTTTTTTTTAAATTAATGATACGCTTGGCTGACATTTCACTAGGGTATTATGTATAATAATATATAGTTTATTCATGCGCCAACTCAAACAGTTATAATGGGTTGACCCTTCTATTAACGTGGAATAAGCAGATGAAGATGATTACAAAGTTGAGTTCATTAAACATAGATGTTATCGTGAAACGTGAGGAAATGTGATTTTGCTTTTAGTTTATTACGACAAATATACCTGTCCAATAATTCAAACACTACACGTAGAACTTTAAGCATAACTAATAAATTTAAATTAAATTATTTTAAGGTATACAAGAAAATATAGAAATATGTTATGTAACAGTATAGGTTAGAACATATATATACCAATGTTTACATTTTATATTTATTTAATTTCGTAATTGATTAAATTAATTTGAAAATATTGATTAAATACGAATATATGCTACATTGAGGGTTCAATTAGGACTTGATGAAAATGTATAATATACTGCGTAAATTAACATTTTATAATTTACAAACCAGTACTGTGGTAATATATATTTCGTAAATACTTATATCTCAGACATTTAAAGATCAAATGCATCGCATACACGTTTAAGATAAAATAAATATTTATATACGATCTTATTAAATATATAACAGTCGCGAAATATGTAATACTATGACAGTCAGACTGTTTTTATTTATCACCCTGCAGTTTATGTACTAATATACATATAATATGTGTATTTTAATATAACATTACAAACAACATATAATATTACGAACGAACTAAGTCTAAGTGTTTACTATACTACTATAATATGAGTATCGATTTCTAACAATTTGGTCGTGAGTACGTGTGTCTATTAAAACACCAGTCACCTTCAGTCACAGCACCGTGACATCAGTATGACAGTGTCAAATCCACTACCTACCTATTACAAATTATTCGATTATAATTTAGGTACATCAATGTAAAATCCATCACAGGAAAGTCCTTTCTCGGCACAATCAACGTACACGTTCCGTATATGTATATGGTATTATTTTTACGGAATAATAAATCGTGTACAAAACAAATAGATAAATCAACGATTACTCACCTTTCTTTTTGCTTCCAAACATCATATTTTGGCCGCGAATATGAAAAACCCGGTTCTTCTCAAGACCGCCAAGCCCACATTTTCGATCCTTTCGTTCGAATATACATATTCACCGAAAATATGTACACATCACTTCCGAATCAAACCCTATAAAATCGTAAGAACTTTATTGGACCGGGACTTCAACCATCCGACGAGGAAACCTTTCCAGATGCAGTTTCGTTGTGATGTCTATAAACGGGTTCGACGCGCGATATCTACCTCCTTATAATATACCATATAGTGATTTACCGAGAAACTAAACCCTGTATCGTTTAACAATTTATTTATTTAAAATACTGGTTTTTTAAAATTATTAAATAGGCATACTTACTCAATAATCACATTTTCAAATACTTTTGTGTTTCTTGTACTATTTAAGAAGAACTTTGTGACGACGAAATAATTCTTGAAGTGAAACTCCTTTACGGAGGGCACATCGCCGAAAAATGTTTAACGAAATTACGCTCACAACAAGTAATTGTCGGTGGTACCAACCAAATGTAAAAAATTATTTTATTTTTCTCAAAATAGTCACTCTAAGAATATTCTATTTGATTGCTATAAGTATTATGTGTATGATGTATATTATTACTATTAATAATGGTGTTATAATCTATTCATTTATTTTATAATTAGTGAGATAGTGAGTCGTTTTAATAATACAGGTATACTCTAAGTTAATTCAATTTATGTACATATATATATAATGCATATGTATACTAACATAAATAATAATAATATACATAAATACACGAACTTGTAACTTAGAGAAACAAATAGTACGGAAGAAGTTTCACTTTATCCGCGAGTGTTTGTACACGCTCACAGTTCTTTTTTTCCAAAATGAAAAACACTAACTTTTTAACGTAAATATATGATTAATCAATAATAAACAATTTCATTAAAAATTTATAAAAAAAAAGAGTGGTTTTCATTTGAAAAAAAGAAGGTTATTTTGCCACAAGATATAAATTACATACAAGAGTACAAAACGCAAGTATTTAAAAATATGGCCTTTAAGTAATGACTAATAAGTATACTTTTAAACACTTCGAAATTATTCTTAAATTTGAATAAATATGAAAAGTCTGAAAAATCAGAAAAATGGTGGTGTTAATCCCATTTAAATAATACAATGTAACATATTTTTGTCAGTATCTATGAATTAAAAAAAATACTATACAGAACAATTTTAATGGATTTATGTTTCACCCGCTATTCGTTCAACAGAAAACCGGGATTGCCCGTATTAGAAAACTTGCCAATAATTTATGTGTGAGGAAAAATAATGGTATAGAAATGTTTATCTTCTTGGTTTTTTTTTCTACCGTGCAATTGTATATTCAATCGGGTCCAGCATAAGTATGTTAAATGTTCCTTGCAAAAGGTTTTCGGGAAACCGTCCATAAATTGGGGGCCCCAGGTAACAATGCCACATTTAACACGAATTTTCCAAACTAAAAAAAAAACCTGATAAATAATATCACGCCTACAATTAATTTCCACTCTGTCGATTTCCCAAACCTGTCTGGTACCGATGGACGTTAAATTCTTATATAAATATACTGTCTGTGCACTAACTAATAAAACATAATATTTAGTAATTTATTTTTGAATCATTAATAGGCATGTGAGGTTTACCGGTATCTTTTGTTATTGTAAGGGTTTTGAGTTTAAAATACATTCCTATACTAAATACCAAACAAAATGGCCTCGGTCTGTACGTTGCTTTTTTTTAAATATTTGCTACACAACGCCCATACACGTGTGTAATATATGTACTTATTTTATTTTTTAAGGGTATCCTTTGAAATTAATTAGTAAGGTTTACAGAAATTTCGATGTCCCCGCAGTGTAGGTACTTGGGAAAGAGTCAAGAAACGCACTTTATATGAACATTTTAAATTTCAGCGTACCACTAATATAAATAGTATTTAATATTTTAGCAAACTCAGTAGGTAATAATTAACGAAGAAGGAATGTTGAACATTCGAACTTTTCCTGTGTTGAAGATACCTTTTGATAATGAATCTCACGTCATTGGGACATTTACAATTTTAAAATATTAAAAAAACATTAGGCTCAAATCTCTTAAGAAAACTTTTAGAAAACATCAAGACCAATAGGGTTTTTATTTTGGTGTAACTACGATGGAACAACCTCTTGGGCGTATTATACAAATAATGTACCAACAATATACCATGAAAATATACTATCCAATAATATAAAAATATACTATAGTATAATATATAAATTATATAGGTATATTAAAATTAATGCTATATTTATACTACAACATATATACTATACAATATTATCTTTTTCCAAGTACTAATTAAGAACAAAATATAAATTGGAATCTAATTTTACTTATATAATTCAAATCTCAAAACAATAAAATTAATTAAATTTTAATGAAAAACATCAACAAATTATTTTGTGATGGTAATTTTAACAATGTGCCAAATTATATTCAAATTAGTTTTTAAGGAGGTAAAAAGGTATTAAAATACTTTTATTGCGTTTATTGGAATACTTTTAAAGTCTTGATATTATAGCGTTCTTGTCTAAAAAGTTTCTGTAAATAAGATCGTATTGAGTAAAAACTAAAAAGTGTTTTAGACGACTTTTAACATTGTCAGCTATTAATATTTACAGAACAAAATATTGTATACAAAATATGCCAACTTTGGTTTTATATGCATAATCGATTTTAAAAATGATTTCATATTTTGTTTCAGATTTATTTGAACATAATATAGAGAGGGCACCAAAAATATATCCAAGAACACTCAAGTTTTTTATGCTATAAAACCACAATTAATAATTTAAAAGATAATAATGTAAGTTATCACAATCTACCTTAATGTAAATATTTTATGCGTGTTTCAATTATTTTAAATCCATCTTAGTTGAATATTAAAATGTAATTTAAATTCCTAGAAGCACCTAAGTGTTATTAATATTTATTAAAAAAAACAAATATAATAAATGAATACAAATTATAAATACTTCAGAGCCAAATACGGGTTTTAAGAACATCATGAACCATGAACCATTAAAAAAAAAAACTCCAAAATTAATTTTGGGAAACGGAAAGTAGGTACACATTTTTACATAAAAAATGCATTAGGTATTTAGGTAGATACTCTGCTCTAACTACTTTATCCTCTTTATACTTCGGAATTCATGATTTATTTTATAACATAATTATTTCGGGGGGAAACCATGTATATTTTAGGAGACGTAATCGGTACAGATTTCAAAAGATTAATGTTCAGTAGAAAATAGTTGAAAAAAAAAAGAATTTACCGCACTTAGAAACCAATTATCATCTGATAATGTGATGTCGTACCGTGCAAAAAATTCCAACGAGCTATTTATAAACGTATTTTAACGAGATATTATTACGTCGTAAAAACTTCGCACTATTCCGATTGTGACTGCCATATATAGTGTAGGTATATAGTTTATTATAGTTTATAAAATATTACAGTTAAACCGATTTCGATGATTGCCTGTAATATATTAGGTAAATGTTGTTTTTTTTTTTTTAATTATTAGATATTGTGTTTTTATCACTAATCACTATGTTTTACCTAGTGACGGTGGTACGACAGTTGCAGCGGCGGCACGTGTGCCGGCGTGAACAATAATTGTGCGGCAAACATTTTAGGAGACTTCGTTTTTTTTTTTTTTTCCAATAACAAGTTAACTGAAAACTTTGTGTTGGGTATGGTCAGGGGGATGGAGAGAGGTGCGGAAATGAATGAAGCAAAAAATAATAAATTATGTGTTATGTTTCGAGTTCGACGTAAAACAACGTCTAAGTATACGAAAAACACGCGCGTCAAGGCCGGCAGGGATTTGGACGGAACGAAATACAAAATGAAACGCGAAATAAAAACGGACTGAATACGTCGCGGCGGCGTTGTAATCTCGACGACACGAGGACCGGTGAGCGTCCAGGACGACGGGATGCGAGCGCGCAAACTGGCTGGACTCAGGCGTCGTCGACGACGAGCTTGTCCCGTCCCGCTCGGCTGTGACGGGCGATGACGGCCGCTACCGAACCCCGGCGGTAAGCCACGAACGCCCGTGTGTGTGCGTTGCACCGCCGTCGTTGTCTCCAACCGCGGTATACACCGCTCTGTATGTCGCGCGCGTGTCGTCCGCGATCCGACGAAAATATTAATATGTACCGTAAGGGGCCTGCTGTGTCGAAAATGCGAACCGGCTAATTTACGGAATACCGCGATGTATACCGCGAAACGATAGGCGATAATGTGGCCGCTATCGTTTAAGCTTTGACAGTGCGCTAAGCGGCCGCAGCTGGACCTTAGACGTGTTTGAAATTTGCCAAAAGTTTCGGAGGGTATATTGTAAAATTGTGATGAGCGATGGAGGTCGAGTTGAATAATATAATTTCGAAATGACGAAATGAGCGATGGAGGTCGAGTTGAATAATATAATTTCGAAATGACGAAATACATAATTGTACATCTTCGGTATGGTATGGTACGCAATTGCACCGTGCAGTTCTTTCTTTCCCGTGCAGTACTTCGGTACGCTTCCCAACACGGTACACGATATTAAGACAAAGATATACTTAGAATATTCTGTATTTAAATGTGCGTTTGAGGCGTTCAGTGTGTATATTCGTTCTGGCTACAATTTATATTTTATACGGCAAACGCCAAACATAATATTTCAACGTCTTCACTATTTGTATATTGTACATTTGTACGTGCATAGTGACTGCATACCAATGAAAACCGAATGCAACATGACTCGATAGTGACAATGGATATTGTACACACGTATACCTATGTGGCGACAAAAATCAACATCGCGGCTCGAGAATTATGGAGGTCAATTATTTGTCAGATAAATTGTCGTCGTCTAAATTATGCATATACCTATTATCTACATCACAGGCGCTTATCCATTTTATTTTGGTGTAGGTTGCGGGGGAGGTGCTAATCAAAACGTACTAATTAGTTTAGGTAATACATTGTGAATAGTATGATATTTATGAATATTTTACATTTTTTCAAAACCCTCAACTCCGTTATTTTTTCCTGCGTTCGCGCCTGCTTATAAACATCGTCGTACAGTAAAATCCAAAAATTATCTTGTATGTATCATAAACTAACATTTATCATTTATCACAATGTTTACTAGGTACAAAATATCTGTGCTAAGCATATCAAGTTTTAAGCTCTCATTCACTATTAGCAAACTTGTCCCAAACCATATCATAATATGTAAATATACTTCTACGAATATTTAATAATGTTAACCAAAAGAGACGATTCTCCGAATAGATAAAATTATTTTCAGAAAAGCGTGTGACTGTGCCTCTCTCCCTCTCAGCGATCGTTATCGACATATTTATTATTAATATGATTCCCAGTATTAGTTCTCCTGTGGTAACGTTTTCCTCATGAGCGATAAGATAATCTAACAAAATAAAGATACGAATTTAAAATCAATAAAATGCAACTGTAGCTACTTTTACAGGCCATGGAAATAATTTTTAAATTTTCTTAACATTTGAAGGGGGGTTGGTACCATTCATCTGCCTTGTAGCAAAGATGTTGTACAAGACGTCTTAATGACACGATTATAAGTTAAAATATTAATTTTTTATAGAAAAAAATTTTAATTTAAAATATAGTGTTGGTAATAGTGTTTAATAACATTTTTTCCTTTTTACTATACCTACCTACATGAACAATTTACTGTTTTAAAAAAACAATATAATAAAATAAATAATACTACGAAATTTTAATTCACTTATTATTATTTATTTGTTTACACAAATGATAATCTGTCGGTCCATAATTTTAAATAAAATAACACGAAATATTTTATTCTATCAGATATAATAATAATATATATAGATAGTAGTTATATTGTTATCTGTTCGGTTATTGCTATATATTAACATTATATTATTTTATTAAAAACACTCATGAGCTTTTTTAAATTAATGCCCTTAGTGGCTTAGTATATTACTCAAAGTTAAAAGATTCTGCAAATAGTACAATCTAAGTTTGAGATCTTTCATATTAATATAAATTAAATTAAAAATGTGCCTAAAGTATTGGTTTTTATTTGTTATTATTATTAGTTTGATTAAATTATTAATTAGTTAAAATAAATATGTAGGTTTTTATTAATTTAGTTATGCGGTAAATATCATAATATATAATTGCTTATACAAAATACACCCACAGTAAAACATTTTATTTTACAAAATAATCAAATTTGATAATTTGAAATATTCATAAGTAAATTACAATAAAAAACGAATCATAGGTATGATAAATTATAAAAATTATGTTAAGAAATATGATTTCATGAAGAATTTTTATAATTTCTTTATAGTGTACACCAATACATTTTTAACCACGTCTTTTTTTGAGACAGCCCTAAGTTTGTATAAGGTGGGAAGGAATTTGAGCTGTAAAAAACCGGAGCCTTTTGGGAATTTACCTGTTCGTAAAACATTTTTCAACAGGCCCGTTTGGAAATTGTCCTTTTTGAAAAAACAAGAGGTCGAATAGCCTACGTTCCGATTTTCTGTGAAATGTTTGTTTGAGGATTTTTTCCGTCGTTTCGTAATAGGTAATTTAATTATACAACTAACAATTAGGTACCTATAAGTGTTTTTTACTATGCCTCCACAACCATGCTGCACTATAACTTATTGGACTTAATTATTCAGCTCATTTATTTTATAGAATGGTTCATTTATTTTACCCATCAACAACACCGAGCTTACGGTTTCATTGAAACAGCATTTGTCAAATTTAACAATCGATTCAATCCCGGCGTATTATCGTCTACACTCCTCTCCACTCCTTACATCGACAAGAATATATGACCGGTCGCTCAGATAGTCAGATATAAATTTACATTCGACGTTGAACACAGCGCTGGTCACTGCTGTTGTACATCCTGGAAAGTAAGTAATTCTTGGTCAAGTAAAATGCGGATTTTCTTTTTAGTGTTTTTCCAAATTCCTGCTACTATTATATATTTGAAATTTACGAAAAATTCCCGATTCTTACATCAATTGATGACGTGGTGATGGAAAAATTAAGATTGCATGATACATAAACACTCAGAGAGAAAATATTTACTATCGGTAAAATATATAAAGCACACTAAATCAACATAGGTAATAGTTCAGATCGTTATTGAAGAATTTAAAGGTGTAAGTTACACAGAAATAATTATAATTACAGTGAGTTTTGTTATGCACATAATTAATATCAAATCAGAATATTGAGTAAGGGAGAATTTAATATAGATATTTGAATAGATATTATAAAGTGAGTTCTTTAATATGTATTTTAATTTAAGTTTGAAAATTAAATTTTATTTGATACTTAAAATCTGTGATCGACAGCACAATTAGTAAATTAGATACTGAAATTTAATTTAACTTAGGTACTTTGAACTCTAAACCTAGACATCTCTATAGCAATTCATAAAATCCGAGAGTAAGTTTTATTTTCAGTCAGACATAAGTTACCAGTGTATACAATATTACATCAACATATTATTGTTATATCGTGCTTGTACATCTTGATGGAATAATTTCTAAGCAAAAACAACGTTAATAACAATATTATTGCAATAATATATTATTAATTAGGTATTAATAAAGTAGTAAAAATATCCATAGTAAAAAACAATTTTTAGTAGGGTTCATGAGAGAAACAAACACTACAACTGTACAACTGCAGTACCTATACGAAAATAATAACCGACTCTGAGTTTAATGGTATGTGAAATAAATAACTGTGGTAAGGAACTTTTTGAGCGTTTTTTTCTGTTTAGGTTAATCTCTATACGTGTACCGACTCTTTATGTTCCTTTATACTAATTTTAATATACAGAAACCATTTACATTGTACCTGTACTTAAATGAAATAGTTTTTGAAACATCATAGATAACATAATATAATAAAGTATAATTTTCAGTTAAGATATTAAAAGCTCTACAAAATGTTAAAAGTTAGTTTGAGCACATTATATTCCAACTGTACTTTATAGAACATAATCCCTCCGAGTTAACAAGATATACCTTTTTACTTGATTTTAGCTTAAGGAATCTCCAACTATTGAACATCAGGGTATTTCAGGTTTTTAAATTTTTTTTTTCCTATTATGGCGCAATTAATATCCTACGCTTAAGTCTTATATTCATCGAAACATGCAAATTATAGTAAATATTTATTAATACTATTAAACATTCATACATTTTCAATGACTTTCCAGTCACACAACACTGAAATAAAAATCATATCGTAGCTGTAAGATTTAAAAAATGGAAAATAATTATGAACCAATTCATTAAATTTTTCTAGTTACATATAATTATATTATACATCTATAAATAATATTATATATTACTATATATAATTTGTTCATAATATTTATCCAGGTTAATGACCTTAGTAGTTGAAGCCTTAATCAATATATATATAGAAATACCTGTCTTCGGTATAATATTATTATGATATTAATATTCAAGCGGAAGTGTCTCAAAAACATCAATTTTTCTTTAGTTTTGTACTGTTGTAGGTTTATACCTATACAAATATATGAATATAACTATTTGTCAATATTTTTAGTATTGTTATATACCTATCATTATGATGGAAACGACTAAGCAGACTATTAAGAGTTTTAGTTTTGAATTTTTACATACAAATGAATTAATAACTAAAAATATTATAATAATATTATTTGAATTAATTTTAATGACATGATAGTAAACATTATGTAAGCCATAATAATTGGCGTCCCGTTATCAGTAAGCCACCCAAGTTGTGTAGGTTTATTTTTATAATGTTATTTTTATTTTATTAGTCATTATCCGATGTGCCATATTTCACTGCAGATTTCTTTTTGTGTTTTACATAACAATCACATTTTAAACATTAATTTTTAAATACACTTCTAAAATAA